GATGCATTTTGCATATCTATAAGTCTACTATGCTTAGAATATTGTTGCCACATATGGTCCGGATGTTCTGTTATATATCTAGGGATCCTTGATAAAATCCCAATAAGAATCAGCAATATTATTGGCCTTGATCTGGCATCCCGGCTTCAGTCACTTTCTCACCACCGTAAAGTTGCTTCCCTTTGCCTTTTCTATAAATACTTTCATGTTAATTGTTCGGATGAGCTGATCGTTATGGTAACTAGACTTTATGAATTTAAGCGCAATACGAGACTGACGTCGGGATTTACAGTTGTGCTGTGTAGATGTAACCGTAAGTTCTATGCTAACTGTTTCTTTTCTCGCACTTTCCGCTTGTGGAACTCCCTTTTGGCTTCATGCTTTCCAATCAACTTTAATCTTCGAAACTGTAAATGCAATGTCAATCGTTATCTGCTGTCCTCCCGAGTAGTGTTACTTTATTACCGCCCCTCCCCCCACCTTAGTCACATTTTTCTGTTTTCTGTTTTTTTCACATCCAGTAAACCCCCCTTGTGTCTTTGTGGCTTTACTACCTTGCTTAGGGGTGATCACGCTTAATATATATATATATATATATATATATATATATATATATATATATATATATATATATATATATATATGGGGGGGTTCACCGTTACGAACCAAATGAAAAATATTTTCTGGTAATTTGTCGGCTCCAGTGACTCATTTTCATCCTAAATGAACAAACAGTTTTTTTTTCCAACCAGTCTTGATCGAATAAGGCCTAATCAATGCCCATAATCATTCACAATAGAAAACAAAGAAGACATTGGGCTATGATTCTAGTTATCAAAGAATGCCAAGCGTTCCAAGAACGAATCTTACATATTTCACATTTTTTCTGCGTCCGCTTTCTCTGATAAAAGGAACTGTTTAATCCATTACCGACAAGAATTTACTTTTTAGCTAATGTTGTCGTCGTGGCGTCTGTATTTATTTGCGATCGAGTATTTTTAAAGGACATCTGTTGCGTGTAGTCTGTATGAAATATGTCGCCGGTAGTTTATATTGATTTCAAAACTAATTGAGCTGGTATCAAGATAACCGAAATATTTTACGCTTTCATGTCACGCCATAAATTGTAGGTATTTGTCCGCTAGAAAGTCGATTATCAAGGTGAAACAGAGAGAAGAGTTGAAATAGCGATAAAAAAAAGTAGACGGAGAAAAGGAATTTAGAGGAAGGGAACATTTACAAATAATGCAGGCTTAAACAATAAAAGATTAAGATGAAAGAACACTTTAAAGGTATCACAAATTGAAAAGTATTAAAATAAACAAACTTTATTTTCTCAAGAGCCTTTCTTTATATATATGTAGTTTTCATTGAATCGTCTAACGTTAATTATGTTTGGCGCGCACAGGTATAGAATATAAGTAAAATATTGGTACATAGGGAAAAGTCTCATTATACATGAGATTTTTCTTCGTGATAAGTCTTTCAAACATACACGGTGCCCAGTAAAGAGGCGGAAAATTCATTAGCATTGTTTTATCTTTCAAGAATAATTGACCTAGAATAACCTTGAATAAATTTCTTGAATATTCACGACCTTCAAGAATCATGCTACTCTCGCGTAATTACTTAACTTTGGATCTTCTTGTGATTGATTAATTGTTGCCCGTGACTCGTCATTTAAAGGTTATTTTCGGACAACTTTCGTCTTTCGTTCTGCCCTTCTCGTAACAACTCACTGATTTTGAACGTCAAGTATAAAGAAGTACATCTGACCTGGGGATTGACGAAATACGTAGAAATTCTTCCTGAATTTTTCAGCCACATCAGTCGTCACAGGTTTTGAACGGTTTGTCAACTGCAGTGGCCTTTTGAAAAAAAAAAAAAAAAAAGATATGAAACATTAGAATAGGTCCAGAAAGCAATGTTGAGTACCTTATCGGAAGTACTAAAGGCAACTACAAAAGAAGTCATCCCATTAAAAGAAAAACAAGAAAAAATTAGACATAGATGACCGGCGAAATTCATGAAAGAAAGACAGCAGCTAACATCAAGAAACGGTATAGAATGCATGGAATTCAACAAAATAATCAGAATTAATAGCATGCAAGCAAATAGAGAATGACCCAATGAGAAGTGTTTAGAGATAGAAACATTGCAGAACATCAATGTAGCAACCAGGCACAAAATATTAAAGAAATATCAAGGCATAAAATTTGTATAAAATAGGATCTACCATTCGCCCATGCTTAGAATATTGCTGCCACATACCGTTCGATTCCTTTGATATTTGTCTGGAGCTCCTTGATAAATTCCAAAGAAGAATCAGCAATATCTGATTTGGCGGCTCGGCTTCAATTACTTTACTACCACTGAAAAGTTGCCTCCTTGAGTCTTTTCTATAAATACTTTCATGGTAATCGTTGGGAAGATTTCTTCGCTATGTTACCTAGACTTTATGAATCTAAGCGCAGTATTAGACTGGCGTCGAGCTCTCATCGATCTACAGTTGAGTTGGCTAGATGTAACCGTAAATTCTATGCTAACAGTTTCTCACACTTCTTGCTTGTGGAAATCCCTTCCGTCTCCGTGCTTTCCAGCGAACCTGATTATTCTTTCCTCTTATTCTTTCTTATTTCTTTCACACCCTGTCTTTTTATCTTAAAAATGTCTTTTAAAAAATCTAAGAGGAAGTAATCATAATGAAAATTGTGTTACAGCGAAGTAATGAATATATCGGAGATTTCTTTCAGAGGAGAGAAATCTACAAAGAGTAGAAGTGTTAATAAAATTAAAATTTAAGGTTAGGTCAATATTGGCAAAGATGAATAAGAACAAAGTAGCAGAACTAGACGAAATTGTAATAGAATTGCTGAGAGTTTTTGATGGTTTAGGGTTAGATGAGGTTACCGAAGTGATAAATGTACTATATGACAGCGGTGAAATACTGGAAGGATTCAGCAGATCTGTCTTCGTAGCTTTACCAAAGAAACTAGGTGCAAAAGAATGCGAAATCCATCTATCAATCAGCTCGATGAGCTACATATTAATTAGAATTCTAATAATTAGAGCTCATAGCAAAAATACTATAAATAAAGACTATAAATGACACTGAAACAAGAAATGCAATTTATATGATTAATATTGTTATTAGTGCGAACAATTGAAGTACAAAAAGATATATAACTATTTGATATAAAGCATTTGATAAAATATGAAATGAAGTTTGAATTACACGGAAAAGAATATTTAAATAACCAGAAAAACATTTACGAAATGATGAAATAATTGATAAGCATGGATTTGGACAGGTGGCAAATCAGGAGGAAAATGGGAACAAACTTCCTGCATGAGGATAACAAATCCATAAAAATAGAAAGAGGAGGGTGACAAGGATGTGTTTTCCCACCTGATATCTTTAACCTGAAAAGCGAATTAATTCTAATAGAATTGGAAGATCTACTGGGGTTTATTATCGCTGGACGTAATACATGATAAAGTGTTGATAATAACATCGAAAAGAGAACTGAAAGAACTATTAGACAAGGTGGTCGAAGAAAGCAAGAAGGAAAGACTAACTATTAACGAACAAAATATGAGTGCGTGTTACATATCAGGGACGTTAGAATGAGAACGGTACAGAAATTTAAATATAAGGGGTGGTATAGTAAATATGCTGGACACAGTAATAGGAAACCACATAGAAAGAACAGAAGTTACCATTAGCAAATAATTAAGGAGTCGAAAAATGTTGCTAGAAACAAAAAAAAATGAGTGATGGACTATGTAATATGTAATTTTCTCTATGGCAGTAAATACTAGACAATTTCCAAAGAGATGAAGAAAAGATGTTGTTAATGGCATCGATAGAGTATCTGAGAGAGGAGGAAGCTTTAAGAATAAAAGCTACAAAGAAACGGCTGCTAACAATACGAAACCACTGAAATCTTGGGGAGATTCCAAGGAAACATTTTGGAGACTTTAACACTCAAAGGATATAATGACGTCAAGAGAAGTAAGATAAAAACAACAAGTAACATGTTTGGATAACAGAAGAAAACTACAAAAATAAACATGGGTAAGAAGAGGTGGATAGAAAAGAGGTAAGTATTACTTTGAGCAACAACATTCAAGAAGTTATGCAGTGTCATGGTTATTCACATACTAAAAGGATATTGCATAGATAAAGAAGAGAGAGAGAGAGAGAGAGAGAGTTGTGTGTGTGTGTGTGTGTGTGTGTGTGTGTGTGTGTGTGTGTGTGTGTGTGTTGGTTGTTTTTTTATATTTCAACCATTTGTCTATATCTCTGAGATGAAGTATTATGATTACTTGCATTATTTACATTATTCGAACTGTTGTCCTCATTTTCATTGCCGTATATTCAAAACGTTTCGGCCTTTGTACGCTTCGACCTTCAGGTGATTGGATATATCATATAATATAATTTCAACCATTGTTGGGTGATTTAATGCCGAAATCAGTTTTGCTATTATTATATTTGTATTTATATACACTTAGTTAATTCGGTGATAGATAAACATTGGTCGTTTATACTTCAGTCTATAGGTAAATATTAGTCGTTGACAAGTATCTACTTAATAGGTGACCACATTGATAGAATGTATCCTGCAGGAGTGAGTGCAGTGGACGTAGAGACAAGGAGTGATAGAATTTTAGTAGCAGCAGTATTCGTTTTACATTTTAGTTCGATTAAGGTCAACCAACAATTATTATTTTTTATTGTCATCTTAGTTGCTTTGATACCACAACATCGCTCAAGCTGATAATTCTAAGGCAATGTGTTGTGGGGCCGATAAGGACGTCGACCCTGCAAGCTAATTTGCGTGTTCGAAGAAAAGTTTATAACCGAGACAATGAAGAGGTAAAGACGACAGATTTGTTTAACTAAGAATGTCGGGTCCGGGATGACTGGTTTGGTACTTTGAGAAGTCGTTGGTAGGTTGGTCGTCTTGGAGGATGGCAGGTAGGGCTTCGAAGTCATGAAAGCTGATCGGTTGCCCGGAAGAACGAGTCGGCAACGGAAAGCTGGTCAGTGCCGAAACAAGAGTGATATCGAAGACGATGGCTGGTCAGGGCCGCGCAGAAGCGTTATCGACGACGGTAGCTTGTCGGTTGCCGGACAGAGCGTGGTATCGAACAGAAGCTGGATTTGTTGCCGCCTTGCCATCTTCTTCAACGATTCGGGCGAATCGTCGGAGATGTTCCAACTGGAGGTTAGAAACCTCCTTCCCTAAATAGGGCCGAATCGGTGAGACGATACGACTTCTAGGGCGGATCAACCGCAGAAACGGGATCACGCCGATGGGTATCTCGCGAAGGAGCGCCGGAAAGATCGAAATGGCAGTGCACAGATACTACACTTTGATCATATTATTTATTTCCGATTATACAGAAATTGTGGTACAAGGCCGAGGGGGGGAAGGGGTGCTGACCTTCATAACCTATCCTAGTGGAGTAATGGATAATGGTTTGAGAAATCGGAGAGCCGAGTTCGAATTCCAGTCGAATCCATTGCATTCACCTACGTGCTAACACCCTTGGGAAAGGTATGAATCCTCTTTTTCTAGCCCCCACCGCTAGCTATGGGTAAATAGCAGGACAGTCCGGGTTCTATAGCCTTAGATGGCAACTGGTCTACCGCAGAAAGAAATGGCAACCTCTGCTGGAGAAATCTGCCTCGAAAGATACATGATCGCCTAAGCATTTATTACGCATGGTACATAACTGACTAGTTAATCACATTCACAACCCATTCATACAATACAATTTACTCACCAGAAGAACTTATGCAACGCCCCTCAATTCTGCAGACAGCAGGATGGAGGGGGGGCTACAAAACACCCCCATGAGATAAATATTTAATGAGAGTCCAATAAATATATAAAAATTCCATGATAAATGAAATGATGAGGAGGGGATAAAACCTGAAAACAAACAAAATAAAATCAAAATCGAAACAAATGTTAGTATGACCTGTCCACCTCTCAAAATGGTAAGAGAGGCTGCTGTAAATGACAGAATGGGAAAAATCAGACCCAGTCGAGATGGAAAAAGGGGACAAAAACAAACTGGGGAGTTTGGGAATCTCGACTAGGATCATAACAAAAGAAAATGCCGGGAACAGGCCGGGAACAACACTTAATCGAATTAACTAGGAAAACAAAATAGTGTCTCACTTAGCCAGGGGGGGGGGTCACGGGAAACCGCCCCGTTGCAATTAAGGGGACTTAAAAGAGAAAATCAAGTCTAGCCTCGTCCCCACGAACCAGGCATATCTCAGCTACCCACGTTTCGCTAAAAGCTGTCGATCAAACCTGATTTTTACCCTAAGCTGATTCTTAAAGAAAAAGAACCAGATCCTGATACGAATAACAATCATCTTGCAAGATTCCCTCCTCTTGCGTCATCCACATCACCATTCTTGCCACGCCTAGCAACGTGAAAAATACCATCCGCTTTACCTCGGAGAACGGGGGCGACACATTGTTACCCACGAAACGCGAGATCGATGGGCAAGAGCTGTCAAATCGCCGACATAATCCCAGAAAGGACGCACCTAAGACAATGATAAAAGAATTACAAAGCCGTTTCCTCTAAGCCAAAGTCACACCGATGACATTCTGGGAAATCTGCCATCTGAAGAGTACGTCAGTGAGAGCACGTTCCGAATCAATCAGTAGCTAAGCGAAAACTCAGGGTTACTGAGATAATTCGCTGCCGACGTCCAAAACCAGGAGGAGCACAACTCTGATGCCGAAAAGCCGAGCCGGTCACACAGAGGATCTTTCACGAACCCCTCCACTAATTCATTATACAATAGTCTCCGAAGCCGAGAAAGGTCACTGGAGCGAGGAAAAACCTTCAAGACCGACCGACACTCGCTAAGGAAACTCGACAACCTTCCACGAGCATCACGGCGCTTACCCCCCAAGAAATGGGAAGAGTGATGGTAAGGCTAAAGAAGACGTCTCTAACACTCAGCGCCAAAATCGTGCTCTCCGTCAAAACGCGGCGTAGGAATACCAACCTAGAGGCGTGGCGATGACTCGTCAAGTGAATCAATCCCAGCACTACCCCCCATGACACGGACGTTGGTAACATGCTTCCTTACAGACCCAATGATTGCGACCCCCCACAAGAGGTTGGTCAACAACATCCCAACGGCGCCTGCAAAGGGGTAGAGACAAAGGATAAAGGATGAGAGGTAAGACGTATGTGACAGACGCCTCAGCTCTACCCTTCAAAGACAAACTCCTTCGGGGCCAAATCCGGGCCGACGCTCCGACCTTTGCCTGCACCTCTGACCAATTCTTCTTCAGCTGGAGTCCGGGCCCGAACCACGTATCCATCAGTTAAACTAAGGGGGCCCCGGAAGTGCGACCGCTTTCCAGGCACATAGCCGCAAGCCGGAAGACTTGTTGCGGTTAATCTTAGGTCCCGTCACCTTCTCGTACCGTTCAAGCGCCTTCTGCACCACCTCAATGTCGCTGCGACACGACACGAAAATGGATACGTCATCAGCGTATGCAGAAACCCTGGCTCGAGCTTCACCAGAGGGAACCATGATTTCGCGTAGAGCTGAACTCCACACCCCGTCCCTCAGCTGGCGAAGGTCGACAGGAGACAGTGCAGTGGTACAGGTGAACGGAAGGTGGTCGAGCGCTTTTGCGATTCAGGAGGCTAATGCATTTGCAGAAGCTAAGTTCGAATTTTGCGGCCTGCCGGATGGCTGCTAGGTACCGATGGTCGACCCTATCGAATGACTTGGACTGATCTAAATTGATCAGCGCGGCTTGCTCTTCGACTTTAACACCCTCTTTGATCAGACCAGATTCATGTTGCTCGCGACAACTGACTACAAACACAACGTCAGGATCTTTGCCAAAATCTTTAATTCTGTGTTTAGCAGTGTTATTGGCCTATAATCGTCTAAATCACGCCCAGTACCCTTGCCTGGATCCCTGCCGGAACTAGTTGTTTTACACTACTGTCGAAATTGGAACAAAGATGTGCGACATCTTCAAGTACATTTCATAGAGCAGATCATCAAGTCATGGAGACCTGCCACTGCCGACCTTCTTCAATGCCACGTGAACTTCGCCCTCTGTTTTCTCACCCTACACGCTTCAGTCGGCGAAAGCCGAGGAGAGACAGCCAAATAGCTGCGAAACTCATCGCAACTGGGACCAGGCTACTTGGTAAAACAGCTTTCAAAATGCCGCCGAAACGCCTCTCACATATCCTAGGCCGACTCCAGAGGACGCCTGTCTGGATTAATGACGTCACGAATGTGTCGATCGGAACCTCGACGGATCTCTTCATTGCGCAATTCTGCGCCCATATTTGCAGCCTCGTTAGATATCTTGTTTAACCTATGTCTATCTATCTAACCCTGGTAGCGTTTGCTAGCCTCGCGCTTCAGGGCCTGATTAGCTACAGATATCTCTATGGAATCCCCCAGCCACCGCCCGGGACAGACTGCCCTCTAGAGCCTTCACATTTTTAGTGAGTCATTGGCTATATTCAGTGGTGAAGAACCTAATCATATCTTTAAGCCTTTCCCGTCACCTATTCCTAATAAACGGTCCACTAATTCCCGTTGCACTAATCTAATCCCGTCTCTCAGGTAAGGACAGATAGAACTTCCAATGTCCAGCCATTACATTAGACAATCTAGTAAATCTAGCTCGACACTTCTCACTAACATTCTGGCTACCTGGAGAGACGTTCAACTATGAGCCCACGTCCACATCTCTCGCTGAGGATGATCGACCCGGTATCTATCGAGGAGCCCAAACTCGCTGATCAAATTAACAAAGCTCCGATCGCCCGATGCCTTCCCGGTAGCTCACCGCCCCCTATTTGTCTTGGGGTCCAGGACGGCATTCCAGTCGCCTATTAAGCCCTAAGCGCGACGAATCCACCAAGAACGACCCCGTCCGAAGGAAAAAGTCGACACGCTCCTCCTGATCGTTGGGCGCATACACCGAAACGAACCACACAGCAATCTCAGCCACGATCAACAGGCCCTCTGCGCCCACATGAACAAGTCTACCCCCGCCCCAGGGAACGTTTGACTAACAAGAAAACATCTCTGGCCTGTATGCTGAATAAACGACGAAGTCGCTAAACAGCATACGAGTATCGACGTCTCAAATAAAGTGCCTTGCCTGTATCGACGCCGGGCCAAGCAGCTTGGTTTTCGTCGAAAAAAAAAGGGCTAAGTTTATGTCAACTTGTTCAAACAAATTGACATAATGGCTAATGGGATTAGAAAACGCTAAATATAAAATTACTCAGAATTCTGTTCGAATGTTTGGTCAACACTCCCTTTGTCCGATATTCTTAAGGTATCGTTTAAGCTTCAAACATATTCGGTTAATCGCTTATTTACTCGCTTACTGCTGATTTCTGTTCTGCGAATAGAAAGGTTACGAAGATCAAGGTCGTCTTTATTAATTTTAAGGAGCGACCAATGGTGGTCACGACAGATGAATTAACATCGCTGATCGCAAGTAAAAAAAGCTTCCGTTTAAATTCAAACTCATGTTTAAACAGAAAATATTTTCTTCACTCTTAAAATGAGTTATGAATGCCTAAATATAAAACAATAGAAAAAGTTGAATTGCTGAAAATTAAACCAGGAATGAAGAGTTTAATTGTAGAGAAAGAATTTCCTCGCGTCAGACCTCACCATTAAAGAAGGGAAGCTTAGATTTTAGTCTCTTTTTTATGTTATTAATCAAAAACTCCAAGATGGCCGACCGCTTCATTGGATTTTCTATCAGTTTAACAAGCTACTTTAACTTTTACATTATGACTTGTTTCTTATTACTATAAACATCATATGTAATGACTACACGAGTTTGAGTAAACATTCTTGATTATTAAACAGTGAAATTAATGCCTACCGTTCGAAAGCCTTAATAAAGAAAATATACCTCTCTACAGGAATCAAACCTGTACTCATTTTTAAATCTGGCTTAGCTTGAAAGCGGTTTCTCAGATTCGAATTTTGATTATTCTAAAAAGGCACATCTTTTTTTTTTATTAAGACTTATAGTATCTATGCCGGTAAACAATAATTTTACTATTTAAAAACAGAGATGTCTACTCAAACACGTGTAACCCCTAAATATAACGTTTACAGTAATAATATTACATGAAAAAGATTATTTGCTTAAAAATTATCATTTCGATTACAAAAAATTATAATTTAGATATTTTTTATTAGCTGAGAAAAATTAACTTTTTATTTGGCTATTTAAATACATTCACGTGAAATAATTGATTGCTGATCATCTCCCACGACATTACACCAGTTTTGTTTCTCCCGATATAAACTGTAGAAAAATTGTCCCTGACATATTACAGAGAGAGAATCCAGGTAATTCGAAACTCATAAAGATTAGCTAACCTTCCAAATACGGTTAAATGCAGCTTGTTTCAACATCGGTTTAATAATAATGTTCGAAATATGTCGATTACAAGAATCAATATGGTTAGAAGTTGAGTTAATAATAATTTCATTAATATTGCAAGAAGTAGAAATTGGAAGTTAACGAAAAAAAAGTGGACATCGAAAATTAATTAATTCGTTTTTTACAGCCTATCAACCCTTTGCAGATTATTTAAAGCCAGAAAAATATTTTTTATATTATAATTTTTTTTTTTTTGAGTATTTAGTGATAAAAGTTTTACTAATTAACCCGTAGCTAGGAGAGAAGAGGTAGATTCATAACTTTCCCAAGAGTATTTGTACATAAGGGAACATAACGAACCCAACTGGAATTAGAACTCGTCTCTCTGATTAACAATTCTGAGAGAGTATCCATTCCACCATCCGCACATCCAAACTTACAGCACCTGGTATCCCCAAGCGGCTACCCATCTAAATACTGACTAGACTCGACGTTGCTCAACTTCGTAATCGTAGAGTTTCGACGTGATGTGGCCGTAAGCCTACGCCGGAACTAATGGCAAAAGATAACAACGAAAAGTCCAAATTCTGAACAAAACAAAGGAGAAAAAAAAGGAATTTTAAAGAGGAAATGGTCAATAATGGGAACGTGTCATTGTGTCAATTTGAAAATTGCATCAGTTGACAGCTGCAAAGAAAAGATGAGATTCTCTTGGGGGCTTCTTTCATTTTGCTAAATCAATGAAAAGTAAGAAAACTAGGCTGCAATTCAGACCTGTTAGTCATCAATTTTAACCTCTAACACTTGAACTAAACGAGGAAGATTAAAATGAAAAACATAGGAGAGAGAGACTAGAAAGAAAGTAAGAAAGATATAAAGAGAAATACGATTGATACGAGAAAACGAAATGAATGACATCAGAGATTAAGAAAGAAAATTTTAAAAAAGTAATTTCAGTCTTGAACATTTCAAAGTCAGAAAATGATGAATTGTGTTTGTGTGTTGTGTCTGTGTAATTTGATTAAAGCAAATGACCATTGGAGATTAAGTTCTCTAATCTTATAGCAATGCTGCTGTCAATCAATCTGTTTGATTGACAGGATTAATGTGTATCTGTTTCTCCGTGCGTGTGATTTAGGATTGTTAATTATTGAAAAAGTTAACTAAATTTTAAAATTGTTAAAAATTGTTTGTTATCGTTTTGATTTCCAGAGAACAAAGGTGCATTAAAGAAAAACATTCATCTTGAGTAAATATTGTTTTTGTTTTTTGTTTTTGTTTTTTATGGCGTGATCGGCTGTGTGTATCGTGTAACTCAATTTCAATTGCAGATATCTTACCACAGGTCACGTGTTCACCATGCTCTGAACGCGATCTCGTCGACACTGGTACACATGCGTGCGTTAAGGCCGTGCGCACGATATTTCAAGACGACCATCGATTCTGGTTTGGCCAAGATTACAGAATAAAATGCCCAGATGATACAGCTAGGACACAGATCACTTGTTACAACCCACTAAGCAATAATACAGACAGTTTGAACACTCGCCTTTTTGAGCCAGGAAAGTTCAACAGCACGCAATTGAACGGATATATAAGAGTCCAGTATTATTCACCTCCTGGTAAGTTATCGAAAATATCTCCTCTCTCTTTCTCTTTCTCTTTCTCTCTCTTTCTTTCTCTCTCTCTCTCTCTCTCTCTCTCTTTCTCTTTCTCTTTCTCTTTCTCTCTCTCTCTCTCTCTCTTCTCTCTCTCTCTCTCTCTCTCTCTCTAATTGCTAATTGAATTGAAAGGATTGACCTCATAGTTCCTATGCTATAAATTCACAAACCAACTTTTTAATCCACTAGCTTATTATTTTGTAGGAGAATCTTGATTGTAAAACATGGAATCTTAAACCTAAACAACCCGTTGTTGCTGAGACTGCTTCTGTTGCATTCATCGAGGTTTCTCTGACTTTTGCTGCTGCTGTTATCTCAGATAACTTTATTTATTTACTACCGGCTTCCATATTGTATTTATTTTTATAATAGATCTACTAAAGAAGTCCTCATTGTCTAGCATATGAGCTGATTCTTAAAGACGTCTTGCTCTGCAGTGTTCTTCTCTGTCTAGAGCAATAACTGAGCAGAACAAAATAAGATCTAGATGAGTTATCTCCCCTAGACGTGATCGCCGGAATGAGAACATTCTATTACAATAAATGATTCATTTTGAATTTGCTTGAAGATTACCCAGATCGACAGAACCTGATGAAGGCTCAATGGTCGAAATGTTGTGACCATTCCAACAAAGACGAGAACAATTTTCTGAGTGTAAATAATATATTAACGCTAACTCTTCAACTCAGATATTCAAACAGAAGATTTCGTTTACCAGTCACAATGTAGCGTGTATATTTGTCTAAATTTTCTTTGGTATCCTGCATTTGATGAACACAAAAAGAATCAAGGGATTTATGATTTTAATCAGAGGATCTTACAAATTATCCGCCCCCAGAAGAGAGCCGTAATATTTCTATAAATAACTTTCATTATAAATACCTTCAGATGAGCTCATTGCTATATCATCTAGGCTTTTTTAAATTTAAGCGCGATACTAGACTGGCGACGATATCTCATCAATTTACAATTGAGATGGCGGCTAGATGTAACCGTAAGTTCTATACTAACATTTTCTCTTCTCGCACTTCCCGATTGTGAAACGTTTTTCCGGTTCCATGCTTCTCACCCAACTTTAATCTTCAAAAATTAAATTCAATGTCAAACGCTCATTAGTAATTTTTTTACAGTAAGATTAATCCTGGTGCCACTCGAGGTAGAAGGTTACGTCATAATGGTTAACTCTAGACTTGAACAGGTTAAATTGTAGTGATCGGAGAAAAATGGTTCGCGGGAAGATGCTGTTCGAATAAGACTTACTTCTCACCGATGGAATACGGATGGAATGTGGGTGGTTTGCTATAATATAAGTGGCATGGCGGGTCCTAGCCGTGAAAGTTAGATCTGACAGAATCAAGGGACGTAGTTCGTTCGAACACTCCGCCTTGTTTTTTGTTTCTAATTCTTTCACACCCAATAACTTCTTGTGTTTTAGTTGCTTTATTGTCTTTTATGATCTCGATTAAAAAAAAAAAAACAAATTCATAAAAAGCTATTAAAAGTCTTTTCTATATTATAAGAAAAATAATCATTCTTGGACACTGTACTATAATGATTTATTATTTACCATTTCCTTTCAGGAAGTTACGAGGCTTGCGGTGATTTTGTGCAAGTTGAAGATAATGTCAGTTTTACCCTTGACCCAACAACTGACAACATCTTAACACCTTGGCAGACTCGAAAGCGACCTCTTATTAACTGGGTATTGCCAGATAAACTGAGCCAAACTTCATACACACTCATGTTTGTCGACGCAGGACTTGGTAAAGTCCTTGCTCTTTTTACGAACATTCAAAGAAGTGAACTCGGGAATATGACGGTATGTTGTGTATCGTAGAATTTAAAATTACAATATTAACGTGAAGAACACATTCTAAATACAAATACACTTTTCGTTTGGGTGTTTATAAATTTCGGTTCATTTAATCGTCTCTGATTTCGAAGATGATGTCTCCGTCTGGAGATCTAACCAAAGATTTGGTATTTTTATATAGTATCATTATGGCAGTTCGACAAACATCATCATTTAGGTTTTACTTTATCACCAAGAGTCTCAAGTCGATATCCTACAAAAACGTTGACCGATAATGACTAGGCAGATCACTGCAGACACCATTAGCAATGTTACAATTCTCCTACATCATTTAGAAAATTATGCCAATGATGTTGAATGCCTCTAAAATTGAATTCATAAACTTCAACAAGCAAGGCTCAATACAAACTGTGTGAGGTGAATCAATAAAATTTGTTGAATTTTTTATATATCTTGGAAGCGAAATTAATTCTACTGAAAAGGATATGAAAATTCGCATAGTTAATGGCCACTTTAAATAAAATGGCTGCAATCTGGAAATCTGATCTACCAAACAAACTCAAGCGGAGATTCTTTTGGTATTAACGCACGGTGCCACTGCTTGGACATTAGAGTCTAAGATTAATGGAACACAAAATGCTCTTTGCAGTATTTTGATCTACTGCCCTGGACACCTAGCCATGGAGCAAGACGGGTTAGTTGCTCAGCAACCGCTTACATATAACTAGTTATGTTATGACACAAAATTCCACCCTAATGACCTTCCGACCTTGATACCAGGATCATGAAAGACTCATGAATGACAGAGCTAACGCGACCAAATAAATAATCAATTCTCCAAATCAAGCTTAATCGTAAAATTACAAATCTAGTAATGCCCAGATTTGTAGAATGTTATCCGCAAATAATTTATTTTAAGTAATTTAATTTAATCTTACGACTTATATCAAACAGAGAATGTTTCAAAGGTGACTAATGTATACTTATCTTTACTTTTATTGGTAGTTTCGAATGTACGCTGGTTTCGTTATGACCATTAGTTATGGGAAAATTAATTACTCTTGGGAAAAAAATAATTCTTTGAGAAAAATTCATTACTCTTGGGAAACATTCTCTTGAGAAAAAATGATTTTTTGGAAAAAAATTATTAATCTTGGAAAAATTATCTTGGGAAACATTCTCTTGCGAAAAATTCTCTTAGGAAAAAAATTCTTTGCGAAAAAATTCATTACTCTTGGGAAAAATTCTCTTTTGAAAAAATAATTCTTTGATAAAAATTCATTACTCTTGGAAAACATTCTCTTGGGAAATATTCTCTTGGAAGAATACTCTTGGGAAAACAAATTACTGAATTAAACAAATGATAATGAAATCATTTTTATTCGAAAATGTAAGCTGTTTCTCTATCTTAAATATTAGTTTAAAAACTGACAGATTTATTTCTATTACAGGAGGTGATTCCATACCAAAGTCCTGTGAACTTCCGTTCCATACCGAATCCGTATGTCTTTATGTTATTCGAACAGACCGAATTAGACATCAAAATTTCAAGAAGATGGCAGGAGACATTTAAGTGGCCATTGTACCGCTTCGTGCAAGATTTTACTAGTGACCACAATCTCAAAGGTGATTAATCTATACTTATGTATGTTTGACTTGAAAATTAGTATTCTTGAAAAATATTCTTCTTACTTTTCCAGATTTTTTTATAGGTGAGATAGCAAGAAATGAAAAGACAAAAAACGAAAGAAATATTTTTTTTAAATGCATTTTTTTCAATAGATATTTCTTGATATAAATACTTCGTTTCTTAAAATACATTTCACCTTAGATAAAATTATCACAATAATCAACAGATATCCCATATCAGCCAATTAATGGACAACTGATGATGAACTGGGTGTACTTAGTTGAAAGATTGTGTCTATAATAAATTCTATATCAACCAAAAGAGAACAATTGTATGAAATAATACAAGAATACATTTTGCCTTGATCTAAAAAGCATTATATATTTTCGATAAAAACGAAAACGAATTCCTATCCTTCATTAATAGTGGCTTTTTGTTGATCCACATTTTGTTGCTCCATATGTTCCTAAAAAAAATACACAACGATTCTTGTAATCAATAACTTTCAGTTATTACTTTAGTCCTTAAGAATAAAACTAATAAATATGTCAGTGACTCCAAGCAAACAAGAATCGTTAGTCAAGTGATACGAAATAAATAGATTATCAATTAAATGCATGATGGACTTTGTTCCGTTTCTATAATCTTAGAAAGTGATTGAATCCAAAGGCTATTTTCCAAACAAACGCACGCACACAAACACAAATTGACATAAAGCATTAAGAATTAAATACTGCAGATTATAACAATACGTTCACGTTAATATACACAAGAACTATTACAATTGATTTGATTGGCTTATATTATTTTAAAGATTTCAGAAAGAATAGGGATATAATTGCTATTTAATCATTTTCGGGTCTTAATTTTATCAATTTGCACAACACCATTTCGGCCTATGCATTCTCCAACCATTATTAGGTATGACTTATTTCGGCTCGTGTTTTCCCCAAACTTTATAAAGTATGACTTATTTTGACTTGAGCTTCCTAAAATTTAGAACGCATAACTTATTTCAGCTTTTGTTTCCTAACCTTTATAAGACGTAACCTATTTCGGCTTGTGTTTTCCACCAATTTTTATGAGGCGTAACTTACTTCAACTTATGTTTGTCAATCTTTATGAAGAGTAACTTCTTTCGGCTTGGGCCTCCCGAAATTTATAATGCGTAACTTATTTCGGACTTTTGTATTCCCCAAATGTTATAAGATATGACATATTTCAACTTGTCTATAAGCCATACTCATAACGTCGTATACCAGCAGAAATGTTAAAAGATGAGATTTGTAAACAAAATGATGAAAATGTATTAACTCATAGTTATTCAATATCACTGCATTTCAGGTCCGGTAGCTGTGACTTGGGTTCTAGTCTCTTCGGATCTTTACGCCACAGAAAAGAACCGGATATCTGGATGGTTTGACAACTGTCCACACTATATTGCTAACGGTAAATTTGTGAAAAGCTTTTTTATAACTATATTTTATTGTAAAAAGCGATTCATTATTTATTAAACTCGAAACTCAAAGACGTAAATGTTGATTAAGTATCAAAATGCTGATATTATCATAACGTATATCTATAATGATACTTATATTTATATCTATAATTGTGTCTTTTCAGTGAAAAACAGAATTTCTAAAATATATACTTTTAGAATATATATATATATATATATATATATATATATATATATATATATATATATATATATATATACTAGCTTAAAAGCTCTATCTGTGGAGGGCTCTTGATTGGGCCTTCATTACAATAGGTAGTGGGGAGTAGATTCAATAGTAAGCAATAAACTACAGAAGAACTCAAAATTGATCTCTGCATTTAAATATTTGCATTAATATTTATGCTTACCGTTCAACGATAATTCTTTAATTTAACCACAATTTGATATACGTAATTATAAATTCATTCTTATATGATTTCCGTACAAACAATTATTTTTATTTCATGGGTGACTTTAGCTGGATTTAGCATTTATTCCCAAAATTATTTCCAAGTTATAAAGATTGTTATCGTACAAAAAACATCGGTCACAAAAAATCGCGTAAAAATTCGCCGAAAGCAATCGCAGTAATGAAAAGTTGGGAATCCAAAATTTCAGAATTGCGGGTCTGGATCTGGTCTGGAATGGTTTTAATTTAATTTTGTCGAGATGATTCCAAAATGGTATGATTGTGGCACACTGGCATTCGCATTTATTATGTCGATATTGAAAAGTGAAAAGATGACATACTCCTCCGCCGACAAATGTCAGTTCTCATATATATATATATATATATATATATATATATATATATATATATATATATATACCTTATATATATATATATATATATATATATATATATATATATATATATATATATATATATATATAATATATAAGATATCTGTGAATAAGTCATCGTGGCCGAGGGCTTGAGCGTGCTGGCCTTGTTCAAATTGTTGATCGCTCTAGATAACACGCTCTTTCCCAGAAACTGTAATTAAGTTTTGCTCAGTATAGTTGCAGTAAAAATCACAGGTGGGCTCTGTGGGTGTTGAATAAACACAAATGAGCCTGAGCGTCTGCAATGGGAATTGGTTAGCCGCCCTAGTAGACGGGTATCCTCGAATAAGAGTGGCCATCTGTTATATACAGCGACTGATAATTGTCGGAGGAGTATGCCATCTTTTCAGTTTTGGATTAAGCGACTGTAGTGATCATATAAGTCACTCAAAAGGCCTGCTTTATTTCTGTACGCTTTCCTACATACGCGACAGGCGAAATACCTGTGTATTATACGTAGTCTGCGTCTTTATTCGGACCTTATTCATTCTTATATGATTCCTCCTTCTGGACTGTATTAGATTGACACCCAAACACACTGAAATGTTCATATTCGAGCTTCCGGCGCGAATGCCAAGCTGTACAGCATGCCGTTTCCACATTTCTGACGGGGTGAATTGCGTCATGGTACTCTTTTTCTCACAGCCGGCGCACAACTGATCTTACTATACTGTGCAGCCGACAAAATCAAATCAAACAATGCGCATGCGCGAAATTAAAGATATAAAATGACGACATTTTACCCTCGCACCCTTTATTTACGGACGCCTGCTGGAGCTACGGTAAGTGGTGTACAGTAATTGTTAGGTGTGGTGTCCCACTTGTATACAACTCGTTGGCAAAGATTTGCATTTTATAAGTCGACACCAAGTTTTGGAAGGATTTTTAGGCTTGAAAATTCGACTTGTGTGTCGCAATTTACGGTACTTTGCCACAAACTGATATAAGTCTTAATGAGTGTCTGTAAACGCAGTCTATTTGGGGGTTGCTTACCGTCATATGACTTCAAATGAACAGCAAAACCCTACTGCAGATATATGATAGGTTCAGGCTGAAAATTATCTTAGATTGAGTTAATTTCCTGTTTTTTAAGAACCCGATTCAAGATTGCACGATCATCACTCTTTTTCTTCGAATGCATGACATCCCTCGCTTACCATTTACACAAATATGTCAAATATACCTTCTAGGTACACCTTGGGTAATATGAACGGCAATAAAACTCACTTAGTGATAGCTGTTCCGTGAACTTTATTTTTATCTGATAGGTTTTTTTTTTTTTTTTTTTTTTGGTTGGGATCAAAGCGTGTTATCTGTTCTCCTCATTTTGGATGGGAGAAGGCGCCCTGCTACAGCACATTCTTCACTACACTATGAGAGGTGAGACGGTGTAACAGTGGTCACGAGGACTGAGCAATCTTTGTCTTTGGCCTATAGGTACGCGTATGGGTTACCTACATAAAAATAACTTGTGTCACATTCTACCTTTTTAGGTTAGTCAGGTAAATAAAATCGGTTAGATTTTTTCAGAAAAAATCATTTACTGGGAATGACATCATTTTTAGAAAAATTTACTTTTTCTTTCAAGAAGTTTGAACCATTAAAAACAACGTTTGTCAATGTTCATATAGACACTGCATTTCCTATTTTACCACTTCCTTTTTCAAAAAGATTTCAACAAAGACGAGAACAGTTAAAACGGCTGAGTGACATGAATTCCAGTTACGACCGGATTTGATTATAAGGAACACTTTTAAAATAGTATTTGATATATTTAATCCGCTAGTTTAAGGAGATGAGTTATTGATCTGTGATCTCACAAAAGAAATTCATTTGAACCCAGAATTGAAGATTTGAGTTCAAATTATATGCCCGTTTTACTCTAAACAACCTCACAGAAAATTTGATTAATACAACTTTTATTTGGAGAGGTGATTGTACTTATTTATTTAGAAATCACTTGATTTTCATGTTGTTTTATGCTTCAGCTATTCAACAACACCGGCGTCCGTTTGTCCCACCAAATCTGTCTCTCACAATTGGCGTTTATATTTCCTTCAGCAGCAACAGTCTTGTGTATCATTCTTGTTGCAGGAAGCACAAAGCCAAGTAAACTTTTATTTGACTTTTCAATGAATGAATTAGTTTTCTTGATTGTCTTTAATTTGAAAGGAGAAAAATGAATATTCTTTCATTTATTCCATTAACATGTTAATATTAATAGTTGCTATCATTTTTCGTTATCATAATGTTAATATTAATATTATGTCTCATTAATTCTATTATATTAATGTTAATATTATCCACTAAAAACTTCTTAACCAATCAGAAAAAATAATTTTAAAAATCTAATCTTTGAAAAGAATATTCTAACTTTTGACAACCCAAGATACAATTATTCGTGGACGTTTGTTAAACTTTCAACGCCTTGTTACTGAAGTTAATACGAGATAATTTGCTATTTGACAATGCTGTTAAAGATAAATTAAAATACTATTATCAAAGCCGAGTGCCTCCTTGAATAATTTATGTTATTCTACACACCACAGAATTAATTTTCCTGCATCCATGTGATATTAATGACAAATTTCCTATTAAATTATTACGCAGTAATAAATATAATACAATGCAAAGCGTATTTCAGTATTCCCAATGTGATATTAACCTGGATTTGAACATTACAGAACATGATATTGTATAAATTCAAATTTCAGAGCAACAACTATCAAACTGAATCCGCTGGGTGACGGAACAGTAAAGGCTGTCGAGACACGGACAGACTCCACCCCTCACGTCACACTAACATTTTCAGCATTTTACAAAGACCAAAAGAAACAATCTTCTCGTAAGTCTAATCAAAATTGTCTTTACTATTTAATGATTTCCATAGAATCTTTTATGTTTCAATGGTAATCTATTGCTATAAAGTTAGTGATTGTTTACTTGTATACCTCCTTGTATGGGTAGATCATGGAGGCTGAGGCTCAACTTGACACTGATATTGGTATTTTAATTTTTCAATTGCTCAAACTTTCAGTCAAATTGTAGGCTTCTGACTCGTTTCCCTTTTGAAATTCGAATCACGCTGCTGTGAAGGCCGATATTTCCTTAGAATCGTCTATTAGCCACAAATCTATTCACAGCACTTCTTTGCTTCACCAAACTTTATCTTCGCAATGCATGTGGACTTGATGGTATCCCTGTAATTGTCCTTAAGAAATGTGCTCCTGTCTTGGCCTCTGTTTTCCCCAATGTCTACAATAGATGCTTTGCTGCTTTTTGCTTTCCTGATTGTTGGAAATCCTCTTCTATAGATCATGTTTTTTAAGAACTCTGGCGAACTGTCTGATCCTTCGAACTAACGACCAATAGGTCAATAGTTGGAAGTATCTTCTACTTCTTTGGGTAAAAAGTACTAGAGGCGCACACCGCAGGGTTTTCTTTCGCTTCTGAAGGTAAACTACCGATGTATTGACAGTTTTTGCTGAAAGTGTCTGTCTAGCTTTAGATAAGAAGTTGTGAAACTCAAGATGTTACTTTAGATATATCTCGAAATATCTGACGTTTGTCAGAGAGTTTGTTAAGCCGAACTTCTTCACGAATTTGTTGTACTCTTTCTGTCGGGGTTTTAATTTGGTTCAATTTTAAATCAAATCGCGTAATGAATGTTTTTGGCGGTCAGATATCATTTGCCTGTTTTGGTGGGAAAATTTTTCTCTACTCTTATAAAGTAACAAAGTGAGTCGGGGAAAAATACTAAATAATTAAGAGGTTAACTTGGATTCAAGATTCTCGGGAAACTGCACCTGAATTTAATTTGTAGAAATCCAATAATATGGATTTGTAGTGAGTCCCGATAATAATAAAATGAATTCAAATTAAAATAAGGCATTTGAACTTTCCTTTAAAACCCTTCCCTTTTTCTTTCTTCCTCTCTCTTTCTTTCGTTATCTCTCTTTCTCTCTCACTCTTTCTTTTTTTTCTCTCTCTCTCTCTTTCTTCCTCAACTTCTCTTTCTATACTTCTCTCAACCTACGAGAAGGCAACCATCAAATAAAAAGAGGACGAAGAAGAAGAAAAGACTGAACCGGACCAAAAACACCGGAAGTTTGTAGGAGCAGGACTGATTCATTTGTGACTGAAAATACCTAAAATCAGGGAGGCTCCACGCATAACTTCCGTTATAAAAAAAAATGAAAAAGAAAGGAACTATAGAAAATAAAATAATTTGGCCAATCAAAAAAATTGACACAAAGAGACTTTGATATTAACCGAAACAATGTTCGCGTCAAATTCTGGATATCAAAAGGATAAAAAAACTGACACCTCTGGGCTAGTTGAGATAAAAAGAACGGCAGAGAAAAACGAAACAAAAAAAAAAAAAAAAAGAACGCAGCGATACGCGGCACGTGAAGCATCAGTTAAGAGATCATCTGCTACTGATATTTCCGCCCTGTTCAGAGCCGAGAAAACTGAGTAGATTGACATCGGCCTAATTTCTAAGATTACTACTATCCCTACAATGGTTTTACTTCAAAACACCGAAACGGGCATTTCCCTAGACTGCTACTAATATCTGGCTTATTAATGAACTTTTTCATAGACTAAATGTCAAAGGACTCACTCTAAAGAAAATAAATAAAAATATATTATTTATTTTTAGCCCTTCAGTCCATTTTATTCCAAAAGATTCCGATTAAATAATTATCCTACCACCTATCCACACTGGTAACCTTCTGATGTAAACACATTTGCCACAGATTGCAACAACCAAACAAGTTTATGGAAACAACTTTTTGCTTGGGACACTTAACGTATTTTGGGGTGTCTAGTTACCAACTACCCAAATGTACGTTAATTTTCGAGAAATATTTTTCTCAAAAAAATGATTTTTGGCAGGGAATTTTCAAAACAAAAAAAAATGGCCAAGGAGAAAAACTAGGGCAAAAATGGGTGTGTCTTTGAGAGACATCTGTGAACAGAGAAAGCTTTGTAAAAAAAAAATTATATTAATGATTTGACTTCACTGAAGTGACCAATAGCGATTTTCCGAGTTCATCAGATCATCGTTGAAGTCGTCGACTAGTAGAGGGTGCGAGTGGAGATAGTGTGTCATTTGCAATTTCGAGCGAGATTCTTAATCCTGGAGTCTCATATTTATTATCGTTTCTCCCAGCAGAGGACAGTAAGCAATGCTCATAGTGCACAAGGTTAATTCTGTTAGTTTAAAATAAATTTGATCATTGTAAGACATTTTGATATGCTTTTGTGCCATCTAGCCTTGGTTCGACATTTAAGTTGTGTATTTTAAATGTATAGTTTAATACATTTAAAATACACAGATTAGAATATAGAATTTCCTCTGGTTGAATATAAGATTCTTCTATATTCAGTTGTAATGAACGTTCGTAAAGAAAACATTTGAGACGGTTTTATTCGCTAATTACAAAACAAACTTAACAAATTTAAACATAAACACTGGCTATAATATTTTCTGCGGCGTTTCCATTCATATTTGATGAAAGTGAACGACATTTTACTTTTATATACGTAAAAAAAATAACCTTACTGAATTCCCGACTCCCTTAACCATTAGAATCATAGGTACACCACATGTACTGCATATATATCAGCAGTGGTATGTACCTGCTATTTCCTCCTCGTAGATGGGTTGGGGAGACATAGATTTATACCTTTCTTAAGACTATATGTGCATAAGTGAACGTAACGAACTCTATTGCAATTCGAACTTGGTTCTCCATCTTCTCATTCCGAGCCGCTACCCACTACATCACCGCGTATCCCTTGACTGAATTACTTGTACAAAACTTATGAAATTTAAACAATTTACTTTTTCTTTTTTCATTACTTTCTTGAAAGAGTTTTTCACACATGTCATTTAGAACCTTAATCATGGTGGCCAAGGGCTTGAGCGTGCTTAATGTTAGTGTCGAATTTAATGAAAAAATATAAGCAAGAATAAGAAAATAAAATTGCGCAGATGATCAAAATTCTTTCCGGTTCCTTTATTACTAGCATCATGTAAAAATGTATTTCTTTTATTCTCTTCTTTTATTCTTTTATTTATTGATTTTATTTCATTTTCCCATAATCTATTATCATTGAACTGTATCCACAGCTCATCTTCAATGTTCGTTTCTCTATTAATTTTTATTTGGTTATTATGATTACAACGTTTCAGTTCTTTTGCCTTCCGGCATTCTTCAAGTGCCTGTCGTAGTACGTAATCTTCCAGGAATTTCATAATAAACCCTTTATTCAAATGTTCGATTTCTTGTTATTGTTGAGGCATCTATTTTTTATGTGCTTCCGATATTTCAGGTAATTTATACACTTTGTTAATGGTTGATCCAGATATACCAGTCATCTTCAGCAACCTCGGAAACTCAAACCAGCCATTAGTCCACTGGATGGTAGTGAATATTCTTGATGGTAACGTTTCACTTGGTGAAGAGCTCCACTCTTACATGGGCCCACTTCCGCCAGATGACAATCCACATTATTACTACTATTTTCTTTTCTTGCAACCATGGAAACTTAGTCTCAGTAACACAGAAGGTTTTTATTCTGACTGTGGGGAAGCATTAAAAGGAAGGTATGTTTTTGTTTTGTTTTGTTTTGTTTTGTTTTTTTTGTTTTTGTTTTTTCGAAATTTTCAGTGGCTTTTCTTATCGTCTGCTAATCTAAAATGAAAATATTATTTTTTTAACCAATGTTTTGTTTTTCTTTTTGGTTTGGAATTAGTTTTGGAGATAACAAATAGATAAATTCAAAAGAATGATAGAATAAGTCAAGAAAATAATCTAATCACCAAATGAATTTGTATATTTTTTTGTCTGTAATGTCTGCAACTTTTTACTGTGTTAGATTTATCTTTTCACTGACGACACCGGCTGACAGTGACTTTCTTATGACAATGGCATACTGCAAAGCTGAGGGGTGAAAATATCGACTCTGTAAAAGAATACAGTGCAACAATAATAGCTTCAAAAATATATTTAAAGACTCATATGTGAAAAACTATGATTTTTGTTTCTCTAGGTCTACAGCAGATATATATAAAAATTCAGTTGTTACTGAATTTTTTCTACCAAGCTTTGGATAAGAACGGCGACACTTAAACTGTGGCCTTAGATATCTCGAAAGCGTTCGACAAGGTTTGATATGCTGGCCTTCTCCACAAACTCAATGGCTGTTTGTGTCTCTGAAGGAATATTTGGTTTTAATCCAATCGTTCTCAGCAAATCGTGTAATGAAGGCCATATTGAACGGACACACTTCTAGATCATTTCATATTAATGCGGGGGTCCCCCCTGGTCTCTATCCTTGTTTCTTATCTTCATCAACGGGCTCCCCTTGTTCCCAACTAGGTGTCTATACAGATTAAACTATTATTTACTCCCCTTCTTTATAGCAAGTTCGACATTTATAAATCTACCATTATTCTGTGCATTGAATATTACTGCCATATCTGGTCTGGTGCTCCTGAATCTCGAGATATATAATCTCAAGATCCTTGATAAAATACAAGGAAGAGTCTGTAATGTAATCGATCATGACTTGGCATCTCGGTTGCACTCACTCTCCCACCGACGTGACGTGGCGTCTCTCTGTCTTTTCTATAAATATTTTTATGGTAGTTGTTTTGATGAGGTTTCCCCCTTGCTACTTCGACTGATGCATGATTTAAGCACACTTCTAGATTGGAAACGTAAGTTCTCTTCTAATAGTTTCTTTTCTCGCCTGGAGAACTCTTTTTCCGTTACTTGCTTCCCTGCCAATCTTCAAAAATTCAAACGCAACGCCAATCGCCATCTTCTGTCTTAAGAACGAGCTTCCATTTTTCTTTCTTTCTTTATGTTTTCGGGACCTTTTCTTTTATTGTCCTTTCTTCTCACTAAAGACTTACCATTCCTTTCACTTCTGTCTTAGTAGCATTATCGCCCTGCTTGGGATGAAACGATTAAAAAAAAAGAGCATGACAATATATAATTTGCATATATGCCGTCATTTTTTATGATATTGGTAAACTAGTATATAAATAAATATTGGTAAACTAGTATATAAATAAATATTGATAAACTAGTATATGAATAATGATGTAAGATAATATTATTCTTATTAAATATTAATAATATGAAATACTAAATTTAAAAAATAACTGAGCAAAAGAAAAAGAATTTATTTACTGAGACGAGAAACTAGAACCATGTGAAAACACTTTGTACAACATTCAAATGGATAATGTGTACAAGTCATTGGATATTGTATAAAATGAACTATCCTGCTGAGTTATTTGAAACTGAAATTATATTACTATATTTTAATTCGTACTTTCCTTCGGTAAAAAAAAAATCAATTGGCGTGACAACGTCATTTTTATGTGTTGGACCTGCTTCCTGGGTAGTGATTGCGTGTGTATCGCTGTCGTTTGTGGGTCATTGTTGAAGCAAAACAAAATCTAGGATTTCTAATGCAGAGCTTCAAGATAGTCAAAGAAATTATTTCTATGACGAAAAACAATCTCGTTAGAGTCTTTTCTCTGATTTATCGCTTCGTCGAACAAAATGAGTCGTCATTGTTGTATTTTCATCATTTAAGTTTTCAGATTTTTCATCTACACACTAAACGTTTGCTTCAAAATAAGAAAAAAAATTTTACTCTGAGAAAAATAACATTTGTTTTTAAAAAGAAAAATAGCAGAAAAGAATGCATTCCCCACTTTACGCACTAGAACTATGGTAAGTTCACTATTCAGTCGTATGGACATGAGTTTTTTACCCTGGGTTTCACGCTTTTGCAATTACCAGACAAACCAAATGCAACTCCTTAAACAACATCTACAACAACAGTGCTTACCACAGCGCGAACTGAGACATTGACCATTCCCTGATCTCCTCAAAGATAAAGTTAAAACCTAAGAATCTCAACCACTTAAAGAAGAAATCCCAATTGAGAATTAACTCTAGCAAGACCGCTTATCCAGACAAAAACCAGAAGTTCTTAGAGAGGCTTATGGAGAACCTTCCCATTGCGTGGAAGATAGATGGATTCCAGCATTGTAAATATACAATGCTGGAATCTCGACCTATGAAAAGAAGATACACAAGAACAAAGTCTAGTTTGAAGAAGAGCTGGTTATCAATGCTAAGAAGCAGCGCGCTGGTTAAATTTAAACGTGACCCTAACCATCAAAATCTACAGAGGCTCTGAAAGTTGCTCGAAGCAAAACCCGCCAAACCGCACGTCGCTGCGCAAAAGACTACAGATAACATCCAACATGTTTGGATCAACGGCAACACCCGGAACATGTATGGAGGCATTAAACAAGCAACTGGCAAACCAACAAAGAAGTCTGCGCCCCTGAAATCAAAAATAGGGAAATTAATTACTCAAGATAAAATTCCGTCACTAAAGAAGCGCTTGATGTTATTGAGGGCCTACCAATCCTGGATGTGCTTGGGTGTCTACCAGTCCTGGACGTGCTTGGGGATCTGCCAGTCCTGGAAGTGCTCGGGGGTCTGCCAGTCCTAGAAGAGCTGGAGTCTGATCCTACAAAGGAAGAATTAGTAAATCTATTTATGCTCTAGCTTGTGGTAAAGCACGGTGTGAAGACAGTATACCGCCAGAGATCATCAAATGCGGCAAGCCAGCTTTACTCAAACCACTTCATAGTTTCCTGAGAATCTGTTGAAGAAAAGGCGATATTCCCCAGGAACATTGATGGGGACACGAGCATGCGCATGTGAATATAAATAACCAGACTGCTTTATGGAACCGACTCCCGAGAGGATATTTCCCCGATCACTACAATCTTAACTTGTCCAAGTCTAGAGTTAAGCATTATCCTCTCCAGCTACCCGTATAAAATATGCTACTTATCTCCAGTGGCCCCGGGCCTTTTATAGGGTGAACGTCACTGTAAAAAAAAAGAAAAAACATGCATGATACTCCTTAAATATTCTCTCTTTATAAACCTTACATGATACCACTTAAATATTCTCTCATTATGGGCCTTACATGGTACACCTTATTCTCTCTCTCTCTCTCTCTCTCTCTCTCTCTCTCTCTCTCTCTCTCTGCTCGCCTTACATGATACCCCTAAAATATTCTCTCTTTACATGCCTCGCATGATACTCTTGTAAATATTTTCCTACGTCGACAATTGGAACAATTCAAGTAGATTTCAATACATATTGTATATTTTTAATTCATTATTTTCACTACAATTTGCTTTCTCTAAATATAGCCATTTCACTTTCTATATTCTTATGTTTTAAAATAAAAAAAAACATAATTTTGTGAATTAAAATTTTCATACAGAAAGATAAACAATCTGGTTCAATTTTTACTTTTGTTCGAAGACAAAATAACTCAATTTATAATAAATTCTGACTTTTATTACAGATGTCTGTTCCGATTAAAAGCTTTTGTGCAGAAGTATCATCTAGTGTTTGCAGGAGCCACTTGGATGGTGAGCAATAATGATGAATATGTTCAAGGCGTTTACCTGAGGCAAGGTTCTTCTCCAGACGAAGTATGCGCTAACAGCAGGTCTTATCACCCAGGCTGTTTACAAAATAACATAGCAACCACCATTGACCATCCGACCATTGTTGTCATTCTATCATTTCCCACCATATTGTTTATTATGAATACTAATTTATTAATTAATCTCCCGTGAAGGGATACTGAATAATGGACGCTTGGTATTTTCAACAGCAATAAACGTTAATCTTTAACTACCAAAATGTGGTAATAATTTTGTCATTTTTAAATTAAAGAAATGCCAGAAATAAAACATTTGTGGGTGCAGAGCTTGTATGACGCATATATCATGTTGGACTTACAATTAAGCGTATTTATAATAATTTTCAGTTGCTTGCAATTTAGAAAATTAAAAAAAGTGATTGAGTAACTTTATTACTTCTAAAAAACACAAATTAAAAAATCGAACTACAATTATCATTCAAAAATGGAAAGAAATCCTTTCCCTAACAGGCATTTATTAAAAATGTTTATTAATGCAATATGAGATACAGGAAGGATTATATTCATACCTTTTCAAATACATCCTTGCAAATGTGATATCAGCATCCACAAGAAGAATTATTAGGTTGGTGCAAAAATAATTTCGTTTTCTAACATATGTTACTATGTGAGAAAACGAAATTATTTTTTGCACCAACCTAATAAAATCAAATCAACTCCATTATCTTGTCTTACAATATGTTCGTATACCTATTTATCTAATTCTGTTCATATCTGTCTATCTTTCTTTCTATTGATCTTTCTATTGATCTCAGTCTCTTCATTATCTATCTATCTATCTATCTATCACTTCGATAACTTCATAGATTGAGACGTAGTATTAATTGAATTTTGTTCAAAATTTTGAATTTTGTATGTATCATTTTCAATCGATGTATTTCACCGAAATGTTGTGTGTATAATAACTTCTGTAATAATAAAGACGAGAAAATAGTTCGAATAAATCGTCTAAGTAAAAATATATTGTCAGTTCATCTTTTAAAATGAAAACAAAAACTGACTCATCTTATGTAACCTATTCTATGAATATCTGAAAAGATTTGATCAAAATTACGCATCATTTCTTTTTTTCAGAAATCCCGAAGAATGAAAACCTTATGGGTATGAGTAAATTTTTATTCACTCGTGATTAAGGAGAAATTGTTTTTATTGGTTGCAATTTCACCGCATCAGTACATAATAATAATAATAAACAGGGCCGGCTCAAGGTACTGGCAACTTGAGCAGTCTCCTGGGGCACTATCAAGACCGAGGGCGCCATCATGCCGCTATGTGATGTGTTTGGGATCTTCCAAAACTACAGCTTATAAAAACATACTTGCAGTCGGCCATGACTCAAGGCAGATTAAATTCTTTGGTCATCCACAGGTGTTATGGGATATCATATGTATATTGTGTTGTTTTTTTTTTGTTTTGTTTTTTTAGTCCATGTAAAGCCGATTTCTTGTACTTTCCTGCTTTATTTGACCTCTTGATCCAAGGATTGAACTCACAACGCTGTATGACGGAACATTTGATTAACTACTATATATCCATCGTTCCGGAAGATATATGTAGTGCGCCTTTAAATCGAATGTCAGATAGTTTCAACATTTGGTTATTATGGTGGGTTCGTAATGTTTGTACCTAAGATATTTTCATAATAAGCCAAAATATTAGACACCTGAAGATGACCCGACGGTTCTTGGTCGAAATATAACGTCTATAATAATCAAGATAAAAACAACAGTTCGAATAAATCGAAAAAAAAAAACGTTTTGTTAATATTGATTGATAAGAAGAGAACATCCATCATTTAATTCGCTTGTCTATAATAATGGATAAAACAAAAATATCTTTCTTTCAAAATCTACAAGTAAAACAAAAAGGGATTTCTATAAGTTTAAATAATAAATTTGTTAGCAAATAAACGATAAACTTCTTCATCATTATACATAATAAAAATGAATGTGATGTTTGGATTACTCTCCATTAAAGAATGAATGATTCAAATTGTTAAGTAAATAACAATGCCGTATTTTAAAAAATGCACGCCACAAAGTTAGGCGTTAATCTTTCATCTGTCTCTTTGCAATTGATATCTGACTGCATTGTATTAAGTCTTCATTCAATTACCGAAAAACATGATTGCTAGAATATCATTTAATTTGCGAAATTTTATGATTGAATCCTTTTTAATTGAAAACAATGACAATAAAATCTTTGCTACTTTCAATATTTAATGTTGTTTGTCAATAACACAAATTACATAAATATCTATTATCATGTACTCTTGTGTATCAAATACAAGTGCCGGCACGATTAACTAATATCTTTCAATTCCTCCACCTCGATGCTGTCCTTATTTCATATGGAATGAGTATTGTTTTTTTAAATAATTCTCTCCGTGTCACGATTATACTTATACACGTATGTATAAAATTCCTATAATTTTATATATTTGAAAAATTCCCACTAGCATGGCTATTCCAAACGACATTTATGTTTGGTACAAAAGAGTTTTTATTAAGAACTCGCTTAAAAGGCGCAGTTCTTGCGGCCTTTTAAGCTAGCTCCTGCAAACAGCTACTTGGGCTTCCGAACTGAAACTAAAGCGACCTCTGGTCCTGCTTAGAAAAAAGCAATTATAATTTTGAAGAAATAGCTATGAATTCCTCCATCCACTTCAACTTTAATTCGGGCTGTAAGTCCAATTCCGACCAAAAAATCGATTTGGGCCGAAATTCCAATTCATGCCGAAAATTGAGTTCTACGTGGAACTTCAATTGTGTTAAGTTCTTCAAATCCCAAACTCTGCGGAACTTCAAAATCTCATTTCACAAAACCTCTCACTTTAACTCTGATTTCTTGGCATTTTGAAGAAATAAAATTAATTTCCTCAATTCACAAAGTTTTGGAAATATTTTAAACTGAATTTAAAACAACATATTTTTAGTTCACAAAGTTTTTGTGTTACTTTAAACTCAATATAAATTAAAAGCTTTTAAAATCACTAATTTTTTTCCAGTTATTTTAAAATTTTGAATTTTTAACTGTTCCCTTCTCATCCGGACACAAATCCCAATGCTGGATGTTCAAGCACCTGATGAAGGACATATTTTCAAACCTGGGATCAACTTGATTCCAAAAAGGTATAATATGTCTATGTAGAGCAAGTGTGGCCTGAGTTAGAAGGTTTTCAAACACATGGACTGACAAACATAATTTGTCGTTTATTTATTTAGATGGAAGAAATAAATAGAAATGAAGCCTTCACTCTATTTTCAAATATAAAATGCAAGTAAAACCAGAAAATTCAAACAATGTTTATCAAATATTTGCTTATGAAATATGTACAATGTTATACAAAATTACAGATACATTAAAAATACATTAAAATATATTTTATATATATGTATGCCATAAAGTTGAATTAACGATTCAGTTTGAGAAGAATGTAAATTTGTTATATCAATGTAAGCTGGCTAAATACGATGATCTGTTAGAAGAATCATGTCTGGAAGACCAATGTATTTCCAACTGCAGACAAATATTTAGTGTATATTTCACACTCGATCTCGGTATACCTGACTATATTCGGATTCTTAACAACAGAAAAGAGGAAATATATTCAAGATTCAAAGAAAGGATTACATTTACATGTGGACCTGGTAATTTCACATTTTGATGGAAAACCAACAAAGTTTTATAATATTGTGAGGTGAAACTAGAGTGTCCTGGTAATGATATTTCAACATCGAAATTGCTGACTTTATGAGCATCGTCTGATCTGAAACTGGATAATGATGTTCGAATTCCAATGAAATAGTTTCTTTTTACTTTTGTCTGTGTATCAGCTACACAAAGACTTTGAATCAACTAAAGACTAAATACTTTTCTTTTGAATTCATGGACATGTTTTTAAATACAAATATCACAGATATACCCATTTTGTCTTTATTTTATATTGTTTGGAATTTGGACGTTTGAATTTTTAATATAAAAAAATCATGTATGATAGAATTTCCTATATCAAAAGCTGTATGCAATTGGGCCGTTATGAAGTGTTGTATCTACTGATGTCTTTGTTGCCTTTTGGTTAAGTGTAATATTTACTTTTATTTTGGGTTCGTAACAACGAGTAAGGCACGGTGAAGTAATGGATAGAGGCTCGGATTGAGGAATCAGAGAGCCGAGTTCAAATTCCAGTCAAATCCATTACATTCACTTACGTGCTAATATCCTTAGGAAAGGTATGAATCCTCTTCTTCTCCCACAGCTAAATAACAGGACAGACCAAGTTCTATAGCCTTGGATGGCAACTGGTCTACTGCAGAAAGAAATGGCAAACTACTGCGGGAAAAAATCTGCCTCGTCAGTCATCTATCGAAAGATACGTGATCGCCTAAGCGTGTATCATGCATGGCACATAACTGAACTGAACAAGTAGTAAAGAAGTTCGAGTTACAGGACTGACTACTAAGGCCTTGTTCGACTGTGTCGACAAGGTTAAGATAACTCACACTAACAGAAAACGGAAGATGTAACACACAACAATAAAGATGAGGTGTTGTTAAAGTGAATGCGAACGTTTATTTATGTTTTCGCCTCAAGCAATATAAAAAATGATTAGAGAGTTATTCTTGGGATTATACCACATATATCTGAGGAAACGATACTCATGTATGAGCTTTATCGCATAGGAGTAGAGATTCTCATCGACTGTTAACATTGGACACCTGTAGTCTCTATGGTTTCTTAGTCGGGCTTCAGTGGATAGGTGTCTTAGTGGACTGCCAGGACAAAATAGGCGAAATACAGGTAAATGACCGCGGTAGCTCGGATAAGCCTTCACTCTGAGGAGTCGAATTGATGGCAGTTTATATAGTGTTGTACTGGCTCGGAAGCAAACTTGATTGAAGCTGCTTCTTTTTTTTCTGATTTGTCAAATACATTTTTATGACATTTTATTTATTTATTTTTGGCTAGGGATTGGATGCGAGAAGTCACCCTTAAATTAAGCCAGTTTATGTCATTTGAACGATGGCACATATGACACAAATGGCTGTCGATGTGTGTACTTCCGTGAAGAGTAGACGTTCTAACAGGCTACGACAATCATATATGTAACTACGCTATAATTTGCGACGTGTCTCCAAATAAGCTGCGTCTTTTCCTCCTTTTTGTTTACGACCTGCTTTGATGTCTGTTCCAGAACGAAGTCCTCAAATAAGTAATAGGAGTACCAACAAAAAATTTGTTTCGTCATATCTAATCTATACACCAGCTGAACAATTTAAATACATTTTAATTCTTTTAATTGATATCTGTTTTAGCGGGAATGATTGAAGCACAACGATATAATGTTAATTTCCTCAAAATATTGCAGTCAAATAAATTAAGGACACTAACATTTTTATTAAATGGCAAATACGCACAGGCAAATAGAAGGAGTAAATAAAAGAACAAACACTAAATGCCAAACAGAATAACAGATTTTTTTAAAGATGGTGTTGGGGATTAATGAATGTATCTAGTTAAATCAGAAGGAATTTCAGAGATCGTACTTGCGTGAATGTTGGTAATGGTCTTTAACGTCTGACTGCATTAGTTAAGACGGGAGTTCTTGAAGATTACATCTTGGCAGCAAGGAATGAGACTCGAGAAAGAGAGAGAGAGAGAGAGAGTTTACACATGTTTTGTTTTTATAATTTCGTGGTACCACGTGGGAGGCTCAGAACGAAAACTCAGGAAAACAGATTTGTCGCGTGCAGGCGGTTTGATTGGTCGGAACTGATCAATCAGCGAGCTAGATTGAAGGTGATTA